GGCTGGCCTCGAACTCACAGAGATCCGCCTACCTCTGCCTCCTGAGTGCTGGGATTAAAGGCGTGCGCCACCATCGCCCGGCGACCTTGAACTTTTAATCTTCTTGCGTCTACCACCCAAGTTCTGGGATTACAAGCAGCCATCAGCACATCAGCTTTATGCTAGGCAAGCACTCTACCAATCTGAGCTATGAGCCCAACATCAGGCATTTTCTTTTTAAATCTCTTGTTAATGTGTATATATGTATGTGTGTGTGTGTGTGTGTGTGTGTGTAGCAAAAGTAGCCATTGTGGCCGCTTTTCAGGGCATGGCCGGTGGCGCCAGATACCCACACTATTGTTCAGCTGCTGCTAACACCATTTGCAGAACTTTTCATTTTCCCAAACAGAAATTCAGTTCCCATTAGGCAATGGTGTCCTAGTTCTAGTATCTTCTAATCCTCACTCGTCTCCATGAATTTGCCTGTTTCAGAGATTTCACAGGAGTAGATTCTGAGGTGTCCATTTTTGCCTGTTTTCTTGCACTTAGCATAATGTCCTCAAGGTTGGTCCATGTGCTAACAGGTTGCAGAATTCCTTTCCTTAAATTTTTTGTTTTAATATTTTTTAAATTTTGTGTATGCATATGTGTCTGTGTATGAGTATGTGCACATGCATGCAGGGGCCTGTGGAGGCCAGAAGACAATGTCAGATCCCAGGGAGCTGGAGTTACAGGCAGTTGTGAATTGCCCCACATGAGAGTGCGGGGAACCACACTCAAGTCCTCTGCAAGAGCAGTATGCACGTCTAACCCTGAACCATCATCTCTCCAGTCCTGATTCCTTTCCTTTTCAAGGCCAAGTACTAACTATTCTGTTGTCTGGACCACCACATTTTGTTATCCACTCTTCTGTGGACAGGCACGTGGATGGGCACGTGGATGGGCACGTGGGTTGTTTCCATCTTTCAGCTCTTGTGAATAAGGAGCTCTGCAGAGAACAGTGTGGTCTGGGTGGTTATGTGCAAGTGGCATTTCTTGAGTTGTGATAATTCTGTGTTGAACTTCTTAGGTGACACCAAACCTCTCTCCCTTTGTTGACCCAGATTTTGTCTTATTATTATACATTACCATTTGCAGTACTGGGTGGAACTCGGGACCCTGTTACTTACCAGGTATGAGCTGGACCACAGTCTAACCGTCGCTGTGGTCTTTGCAGTAACTCTTTCCTTCTCCATCCCTTCTCTGGGTCCAGAGGGTTCTCTGGAGGTGTGAGGTGCTCAGGAACTACAGCAGGGGTGCTCAGAGTGTTTGGGCAGGTCTGTAGCTCAGAACACGTGTGTCTCCTCCATAGCTGCAGGGCCTGAGCCTCAGTTTCCTCATCTCTCTGTCAGTTGGGGGCAGGACAGCACCTGCACCTCAAGTTATGAGCACAGGGCAGACAAGACCAGCACTAGCACAGAGTAAGCCCTCTGTGAATGGCAGCCCTGGCTACTCACAGCCCGGAGCAGGGAAAACAGACCACAGGGATGCTTCCTCACTTTTGTTCCCGTTTATATCTTCGTTGTTTGAATTAGGGTCTCACTACGTAGCCCAGGCTAGCCTCAGACTTACTATGTAGTACAAGCTGGCCTCAAATTCTCTATGTAGGGCTAGAGATTGGCTCAGTGGTTAAGAGCACTTGCTGTAGAAGAGCAGGGTTCAGTTCCCAGAACCTGCATGGTGCCATATATACATGTAGGAAAATACTTATACACATAAAATAAAATAAATAAATCTAAAAAAAAATTAAAAAACAGAAACCACCTCTCTGTAGTGGTTTTTGTAGACCAGACTGGGATTACAGGCATATGCCACTAAGTCTTGCCTGTGTTTGCAGGGCACCAGGCCTGATAAACTAAGATGTGGGAGGCTCCTCTCCAGCTCAGTACCTTTCCCACGCTACAGGTGCCTGGCTGAGGAGGGAGGAGGGTACCTGCCCTGCGGGAGCTTCTCTGCCTTGCAGGGGAAAGAGCCACCCAGCCCCAGAAAGGATGCTCCTCAGCAGACCCTTCCCACTGGTTTCGCCTGTTTGTCAGGCTAGTGGAGGGATGGATGACGCATGGCTAGGCGGGTGCCCCTTCTCTGCACCCCTACCCCAGGTGAAGCGAGAAGCAGATGAGAAACCCCAGTCCAAGGCCTGAGGCAGGACAGGTGTGGCTGGCTGCAGCTTCCCTCCCACACCCACACAGGCTTCAGGCCAGTGTCTGGGGCCAGCTTGGCTGTCTCCCAGGCTCTGAAACACCAGCTGCCTCTCCCCAGGCCTGGAACAGGAATCTGGGTGGGCCTCGGGCCCTCACCTCAGCCTCTATCTTTCCTGGAGCACCTGTCTTGACTTCTGGCCATGACCTGGCATTTCAGCCGCCTTCCACCTGGGAGTCTGTGGCCTTTGACAGGTTGTGCCCGTCTCGGGGCCCCGGTGTCTTACCTCTGGGTGTTTATTGGGTCCATGGTCACCTGTGGGCCCTGGAGACTCAGAGCTCCTTCCTCTTGCCCCCAAACCCAGAAGCCAGGCACCTTACCCCGATCATGAGGGCAGGCGTTCTGGGTCAGGAAACCAAGACAGTGTCAGGTGGAGGAGTCATGACCAGTGTCCAAACTGTGGTACTCTCTTCTATAGGCAAGTGGCAGTGGCACCCCAGGACCGTGCACCCCAAGACTGTGCACCCCAAGACCCTGCAGTGTTAGATCACCAGGTTCCAGGAAGTTGGAGCCTTCAAAAGGAGAGTAGGACAAAGGACAAATTTCCACAAAGGGAAAGCACAGGCTCCTAGCCCAGATGTGGCCTGCAACAGGGATCAAGTTGAGGATGTTAAGCAGGGTGGTGGTGGTGGTGGTGGCGGCGGCGGCGGCGGCGGCGGCGGCGGCGGCGGCAGCAGCGCACGCCTTTAGTCCCAGCACTCGGGAGGCAGAGGCAGGT